TTAAAAATAATTATCAATAATAATTGGCACAATCATATATGGTATATATATAATAATATTGTGTGGTTGGTACTAATATCGACTAAGATAATAAATTTCTTCTATAAATTTAGCCCCCCCAACCCCAGCTTTCTGGCTCTGCCACTGCTTGTGCGCACCGGCATTTGGCCATGTCTGCTCAGTCATCGTGTTTTATATACTTCGAAATGCTCTGTCGGACTGGAATGTGGGGACCCTTAGAGTTGGGGATTCAACATTTCAACCTTTTTGGGAGAAGCTTGTAGTTTAAGCTTTCGATCTTGGCATTTAGTAGAGCAGTCGAGTCTGCCATTTGTGTTGTCTGGAAGAGAAAGGAGAGTTTGGGAAGGAATTGGCTTCCCTGATGGTTCAAGAATGGGGGGAAGCATACATACATGGATTACACTTCTCCCAAATTATAATGGACTGCTTCTTAAACACATTTTGAAATTTCGACCGTGGAATGTCAATCTGACATGTTAGAACATTTGAACTATCCATGTGAATCTAATAGTTGCATGTTCAGATAATCTGAAATTTGATGCTTTTTTTCCTGAGTCTGTGCCCCTGCCATGCATTTAACCATGAAGTAGGCAAGAGATTATAGCTACTTGATTATGTTTTTTGACTAGAAACCCACAACAATTATCCGACTACCCGAGGGTGTGCGATGATTAGACCCCGCCTTGTGATTCTAGTCAATAAAGGATCACAATAAGATAAACCAGCCTGGATTGCCCATAGCTGACGTGCTCAAACCAAGAACCGAATTGCGGCCATAACCCGCAAAGGACCAAACAAAGAAGGCCAATAGGCCGCTCCCACTAGAAGTCGAATTTGGTTGGGGTTGCCTCTAAAAACATATATTTTAATTTTTAAATGGCCTTGTGGCCTAGTGGAATGAAATCTCCCAAATGGGAGGTCATGGGTTCGAGCTCTAGTGGGACAAGTTGAGACAGTAGATATGATTATATGAACAGATACTACATTGTAACAAAGTGAGTAGTACTAAAAAGAAAACAGTGTACCTATGGTTAAGCTGTTTCCAAAATTAGACAAGGGATCAAATAAAGGTCCTTCACTATTTATTAACGATGAAGCTTAGAATATCTGACGTTGTCATTAACAAAGACTGTTACAAGAATAATATAGTTCCCAAAATTAGACAATTATATTCACTAAACAGAGATACAAGGGATCAAATAACGGTCCTTCACTATTTATTAACAATGAGGCTTAAAATATCTGAGGTTGTCATTAACAATTATATTCACTAAACAGAGATACAAGGGATCAAATAACGGTCCTTCACTATTTATTAACGATGAGGCTTAAAATATCTGAGGTTGTCATTAACAAAGACTGTTACAAGAATAATATAGAAAACGCAGAACTAGAATTTTAGTAGAGTACAAATATAATAGTCCTAACAGTCCCCCCAGTTTTAGTAGAGTACAAATATAATAGTCCTAACAGTCCCCCCTCAAGCACAGGGTTGTTAGCAACATTGAGCTTGCCCCTTAGGAAACCAAACCGCACAAAAGGCAGCGCCTTGGTGAATATATTGTTAGAAATAATTATTTCCTAACAATGATTTATATAATAAAGGTTGTAATTCCATAAGGTACTCACGTTGATGATTAGTGATGTGTAAATGCGGAATTACTGGGTGAAATTCCCTCCCTCTCATTCTGTTAAAATTTAAGTTTATAAGAGTTAAAAGATGTATAATGGATAAGGTTATGGGTTTCACAATCCTAAAGGGATTTCTATTCCTAAAGGAGGTCACATTCCTAAAGGGATTTCTATTCCTAAAGGAGGTTCCCCATTCCTCTTGAAAGAGGGTTTCTCATCACATCTATAAATACCCAGGAAAACTCTAGGGATCCAAAACGGTTTCAAATCTCTAAGTTTTCTAGTCTCCGTATCATCAGGAGGTGAATAAGGTATACGGATCAGAGAGGTGAAGCATTATATTCTTGATTCATTCGATTTAGAGATTACATCTTCAATGGAACCAAGTAAGTCATATCTTTCCTATTTAATTAAAAGTCCATTATCATGAACATTGTTTAGTTGATTGATTTGATTTACATGCGATCATTGTTAATTGTGCTTCCGCATTTAAGTTATAGCGCATAAAGGATCATTTAACATATATTAGCCAACTAATCCTTAGTGGAGATAAAATAAACATGCAGCTCCTTCTTGGACACCTTGTCACGAACAAAAGTCTATCTCCACATGCTTCGTCCTCGCATGAAACACAGGATTGTCACACAAATAAGTGGCACCCAAGTTATCACACCACAACTTGAACGTAGACGTTGGAGGCAAACCAATTTCCCTCAACAGCGAAACCAGCGAAGTCACCTCTGCAGACACATCAACCAATGCCTTGTAATCAGCCTCAGTAGAAAACCAAGCCCCTGTACGTTGCTTCCGACACGTCCACAATATCAAATTATTACCCAGGTGCACCGCAAAACCGCTAGTAAACTTGCGGTCATGCAGATTGCCAGCCTAATCTGAATTCGAAAAAGCATGAATATCAGCAGACATAGACTTCTTAATATGCAAACCAAAACCAAGAGTGTCTTTCACATAACGCAAAACACGCTTCAACATACTCCAATCAGCCGTGGTTGGCGCATGCATATGTTGACATAACTTATTAACAGCAAAAGATAAGTCAGGACGAGTTACCGTAAGATACTGAAGAGCACTAGCCAAACAGCAATACTGAGTAGGTTAAGCATATGGAACCGGAGTAGAATCATCAGACCTGGCAAGGGAAACCGGAGTAGAAATAGGCTTACAGTCAACCATAACAGCGCGCTTAAGAATATCCTTCATGTACCGCTGCTGAGAAAGAAGCATTCCACTAGAAATATGTATTATTAATTTATTATATACAGCCGGCCATATGCACACAAAATATGTAAGACTAAGATTACTGAAAATGCAATTCTAAAGGCCTTACCAATCACCTGGAAACCGAAGACAATGAGCAGTGTTTGCCTTCCCTTTTGTCATCTTGTCAACTACTTCACCAAAAATATAAAACAAGTCAATGAACTGTTGTACAAGTACAAGCATAGGATGCAATTCAATCTGTTTGCAAAGATCAATGATGTTAAAGAATTGAAATCCTAAACTTACAAAAGTTTCCACATGAAGAAGGAATCCTACGCTGGCCACCACAAGGGCAATAGATAGGCTGTAAAGACAGTATTGAAGAAGAACAAGATAAATTTGTATGAGAATTCAAGGAAGCTACACTTTGATACAGAATTTAGTAAAAGAGCCTTCTACCAGCACTACTAGATGATGTAATTATGTAACAATCCCCAAAGATGGTGCAAGCAGCAAGAGCTCAGACTAGGAATATGATTGCCAATAATCGTCTTTAATTTACAGAATAGTGTTTTCTATCTCAATGTAACTTTATGCATGTTTATGTACCAATCACATTGAAATATTTTCATTACAGATATGAGATATATGATAGTTAATACGGAATACTAAAGTTAACTAAAGATAGATGCATATTAATATGTGATGTGATACACTAGTTGGGCTCTGTGAAGTTGTGTTCTTTTATTTTCTTTTTTATTTTTTTCCAGCAGAACACTAAAGAAAAGGAACATAGTGCAGCAATTACACTTAAAATGGTAAGTTTTTAGACATGTTTCATTTGCAGATGAACAATAGTAAAATGTACACTGAACATCAATATTAAGTGCACTTAACGTTATAACTTGTTGCACATAACGTTATAATTAATTGTACCTAGGTGCACAAATGTTAACAAGGTAAATTACTTGCACTTGTAAGTGAAAATATGTGCACTTATAAGTGATTTTACTTACACCTTCTACTTGTAAAGGTGCACAAATTACTTGCATTTATAACACAATTACTTGCACCAAAGTTCGAGTTATTTACAAAAATGTCACCGCGTCGTTTTTTTAAAACTACATCTGATTCGTTAATCTGGACACGTGGACGGCTGTAAGTGATTCTTAATTCTCTCCTGGTTGCATTAATTAAAATGTGCCCCTATAATATATATATATATATATATATATATATATATATATATATATATATATATATATATATATATGAATGATGGATCACCATTTAAGAAAGCTGTTTTAACATGATGGATTTCAAATTTGTATATAGAAGTCAAATCAAGTAGTTGTCCTGGCAACTGGTGCATAATTGTCGAAAGAGTTCTATTATATATACGTCCAAATTCTACTACCTCACTTTACTCCATGACATAATAAACAAAGATTGATTATTTTCATCATGTGGGTCTCAGGGAATGTATCTACATCAAGAATTTGTGAAAGAGAGTAAAAATTGAGAATAAGAAATAGGAATGCGTGTAGTATTTTCCTTGTCAAAATAGTTAATGCATTCTTTTTGTGTAAAGCCCTAGCTAACAACCTTACTTTGAACTATCAATGGTTCTGTCTACTTTAATTTCTTTTTGAAGATCAATTTACAGCGGATTGTTTTGGAACCTGGTTGAAGATCTACGAAGTTTAAGTATTATTACTCACGATAGATGTCATTTCCTCTTCTGTCACTTCTTTCCAAAAGTTTGTATCCTTAGATTTCATTGCTTCATCATATGTGAGAAGATCCAACTCAATGTGCTGCGTAATTGCAGTTTGCTTTAGGTGTGAGTGTCTAGTATCTTCTACTAGAGTACTAGGTGCATAGTGAAGTTTTTTTTTTTTTTTTTTGAAAGCAGGTGCATAATTTTTTCACAAATTTTTAGGAGCCATGTAAGAGAGGAGGGAAGAAAAAGGGGGAAAATAATTGAGGGAATATATGAATAATTCAAGGAAAAAAAAATAGAGCATATAATTTAAGAAGAAAAAATGTCATTTTCCCTATATCTAATGTACACCAAATGTTATAAACTTCATTCCACTACTACTATGTTTCAACAAGCATAATCGTGATAAAGTAATTACCTCACAATTAATAACTTATCTATCATCTAAACATTAGATGTGATTATTTATAAACTTAACAACTCCAAATAATCACACAAACGTTAGATCATATGTACATAAACTATAAACTATGAATATTAATTTCTCTATAAATTTTCCTAAGAATTCATCCAAATTTTTCCTCCTCTCATCATACCTGAGAGATGAATGTGTATGATGAGCTAGCAACAGCACCTTTGTTGTGGTGTTGTCTTGGGTGAACTTGCTTCTTGATCCCTGATGAACCACCTTTGGCTCTGCGGTGGCGGCTGCCTTTGTGAACGTGATGAAGGTAATAGCGGTAATCAGCTTCGCCAGATGGATGGTGAGTAGATGTTCTCCTTTGGTGCTTATGATGATGATGATGATGATGTCTTGTTTCATGGTGCTTATGGTGGTGTCTCTTTAAGTGAAGTTTTAGCTGATGAGGATTGGAATGGTGCATCAATGAACTCCTGCTCCCTTTAGGGACTGAAAAGTGATCTTCCCACCAGTCATATATAGGATCAAATATCCCTTTCTGATGCAGAAGCCAAACAAGCACAACCACTGCATTTCAGAAAATGCAAATTGGATTCAGAATGTATAGATATAGTTAATTCCAGAGTTAATTATATCTGAAGTCCTCCAAGTATAGTTTAACCCGTGGCTCTTCAACTTTCAAATTTTAATCAACTGAGATCCTTTCAAAAGGGTCACGACTGGTTAAAATTTGAAAGTTGAAAAAACATAACAAGTTAAAATTTGAAAGTTGAAGAACTACGGGTAGTTAACTTGAAAGTTGAAGAACTACGGGTAGTTAACTTGAAAGTTGAAGGACCACTAGTGGTCAACTTGAAAGTTTAGAACTTGGCAAACCACTATTCTCGGAGAACCCCATATGACATTAACTCGTAATTCCAAGAATAGTCTCTTGACTACTGATAATTACTAATTTTTATCCTCGACTTTCAATTAAATGATCCCTTGGCTATTGACATTTACCAATTTTTTCATCGCCTTTCAACTTGACCATAAATGGACACTTGACTATTGATTTCGTTCCAGATTTGGTCCTTAAAATATCCATTTAGAGAACAAAAAATTTTAGGGTAATAATGTAAAGATTAGCTACCAGAATTGCCTCTTCATATTTGCATATTTAAAGGTGATGAAACAAATAATATAATCACCTCAAAATTTGTTACATCCTTACCTGTAAATTCAAGGGTTACTAAATTAATATTTAACCGAAGGACCAAATCTGGAACAAAACCTATAGTCAAAGGACCATTTAATGTCAAATTAAAAGTCGAGGATGAAAATTGGTAAAGATCAATAGTAAAAGGACTACTTTATAGAAAGTCGAAAATAAAAATTGATAAATGTTAATAGTTGAGGCCTTGAGGGACTATTCTTGAAATTAACTCTTCTTTTCCGGGAAAAACAAGTAGAGTGAATAAGCAACGTACAAGTTGGAAAGATTGCTGCGAATAGAGCAACCAAAACTATCCAATTCATACAAATGTACTGCACATGACAGCCCACATCAAAAATCCCAGAGCAGTTCCTTCTGCCCAGGCAAGAATCGGATTGAAGAGTTAAAACTTGCCTAATCATATCCATTAATTCGAATAATTTCTCTTCGCGCAATGTCAATCCTTGGAAACTATCATGAACACAAGGCACGTACCTGCAGCTTTCTCCTGTGAGAAAATCCACCAAACCTTCCCACAACTTGTTCCACAATTCTTCGATTGTTTCAAAGAAACCATGTATGCTTGTCTTGGGGGGTTGGAATGGTATCTGTGATCCGTTATCAAAAACAGTAGCAGTTGTTGTGAATTGACACTCTGCTCGATCAACTTCACCAAAATCAGAGTCTTTAAGTATAGCTGCGAACAAGAGTAATCAGCATCGAGAACTCAATGATTTAATAAACAAAACTCCTTCACTAATGTATAGTACGTGTACCAGAACAGAAATAATTTGCAGCTTGATCACTTGATGGGTTCAACTTGAATGCTCGAGTAACAAGTTCATTTGGCTTCATTATGTAAAATTGTTCCTGAAAACAATGAAATATGTAAAATTATACTTTTATTGTTCCATGTAGATCATCGACTCGTGGTTTGCTGATGGATAAAAACTTCCATTAAAATAATGAAACAAAACTGCAACCTCCATTAGGCTGACACCACCTGAGCAATCAAACTGCAATAAAATAAAATAAAGAGAATATTAAACAGTTCAATTGCAAAAGATTCACAATATAAGTATGGTCTATACATTTTGGTAGTGTTAAAGCTTAAATTGATGTCTGATGAAAGGCAATACCAAAATCTCTAACTGGAAGAAGATAAACTACTTGTTTACCGTCAGGCTGTAGGACGCTTCTACTTCACCAATATTTTTAGTTGTGATTTTTGCCGTCCCTAATTGAGTAAGTGCTTCAAAAGTCGGAACAATAATGTCCACAATTTTTCCCGGGCTCCTGAAGAAAGAACGTACAGAAGAGAAGCCCTAATGTGGTTCAAAGTAAACTGCAATTTATGACAAAATTCTACTTTACACGCAACTAACCTTTGATAGACATACTCTATATCATCTGCACTCAGTTCTATTAAGAGATTGGTATTCAGAACTTCAGTGATTCCTATGGAAAATGCATGAATTCCAGCATTCTGTAACACACATAATTATTAAAATGCAATAGAAATAAATTATTTTAACTATAAAATCAAATGTTATGAATCATAACTGGATGTTGGTTGATCCTCTCAAACCTTCCTTGCACACAATACAGTGGTACCTGGTTTCTGGCGATTCGGTTCTGATCTGCCTGATAGATGCAATAGATTGCTCTAAGATAAAAAGACATGGGGGAGGGGTTGTTGCTTCCCAACATTCTTGGATGTTAAGAGTCTCACATTAAAAAAATAAGAGAATATATGAGTTTATAAGACCATGGGTTAGACTAGCTAATTGATTGGATTCAATCTTTTAGTGTGGTTTGACCCCTGTTTGGTCCAAGCTTTCGTTTCAGGGGGAGGGTCCAATCCCAAGCCCGCTTGTTCGAATGGCCTTGGCCCAATCTTAGATTACAACATTGGACAAAAAAAAATTACTTACATCCCAAAAGTTCCATAGTTGATTATGCAGGCAACTCCAAAATGGTGCTGAGCAAAAATCAGGCTGTGAATTGAAGGCATCATAACCAACACCAATTTTGTTACACTCAAGACCATCTAGCGTAAACCTAACTCGTTCAAGCAGCATCCACGTGGAGAAATTGCTGCCTAGATTTTGTGGTTGACCTGCACCACCCTTTAACAACGGGAAGTTTGCAGCAAGAACAAGATCAACAGCAAATATATACAAAAACCACAAGAGAAAAGAATAAAAATGTTCCAATTATAAATAGCAACAAAGAAGATGAATTGAACAGGAGACTCCCCAAATGTAGAAACTTTATAATATAACAGATCCATAATTGTGGTCATAGAACATTGGACAAAATCTGCAGGTAAAGTGGTGCTGCAAAAGTTACTAAGTGAGATTAATGAGAAGAAGCAATACCTGTCTAGGGATAACAAGGTAGTAATCCTCAAAAGATGGAATATCTGTATACCCAACATAGTCTCCAACAAGATTTACTCGTAAAAAATTATCATTGGATGCAGCAGTCCTATTACCAGGACCCACAGTCACTTCCTGATTCAAGAAAAAGAGGGGAGAATGAATAAGGTCATGAAAGACATGAATACAACCTAGATCATAGTCCATTGCTAGAAAACATTATTAATTTCATCAATTTTAAGTTGGGATGGCTATAATCCTAGGATGATCAATTCAAAGTATTCAAGGCATCAAAGATCAATCCTCTTTCCTCTTCTTCACTTCTCATGCTGTCTTATTTTGATAACTATTAATACTTTAAACAAATGTTAAGAACCGAAGCTTCAAAATTGCCAAGGATGAAAATAAAAACATTACAAATACCAGGAAATTCAAGCAAAACTATAAAATCAAGTACAGTGAAGATTTTCAGAAGATTCAGATTACATACTGATACTTGGGATCTCGTCTTGACTTCAATTCTAATACTAAATCCAACTGAGCGATGCCCAATGCCAAACACATGGAACCTAAGTGTAAAAAGAAAATTATGCATAACATTCGGCTTTCATTTATTTGCTTATATATATGAATTACTGCACCACATATATAAAACAATATTGGGAGGCAGAACTGGATGCTAAAAAGAAAAGGCAATGATTAAGTGATTAACATTAAATGCAAACAAAGAATCTCATCTGATTGAAGTAGACCTTTTGCATACAAAATATGTATTATTAATTTATTATATACAGCCATCTGCACACAAAATATGTAAGACTAAGATTACTGAAAATGCAATTCTAAAGGCCTTACCAATCACCTGGAAACCGAAGACAATGAGCAGTGTTTGCCTTCCCTTTTGTCATCTTGTCAACTAATTCACCAAAAATATAAAACAAGTCAATGAACTGTTTTACAAGTACAACCATAGGATGCAATCTGTTTGCAAAGATCAATGATGTTAGAAGAATTGAAATCCTAAACTTACAAAAGTTTCCACATGAAGAAGGAATCCTACGCTGGCCACCACAAGGGCAACAGATAGGCTGTAAAGACAGTATTGAAGAAGAACAAGATAAATTTGTATGAGAATTCAAGGACGCTACACTTTCATACAGAATTTAGTAAAAGAACCTTCTACCAGCACTACTACATGATGTAATTATGTAACAATCCCCAAAGATGGTGCAAGCAGCAAGAACTCAGACTAGGAATATGATTGCCAATAATCGTCTTTACAGAACAGTGTTTTCTATCTCAAGTAAAAGAGTAACTTTATGCTTGTTTATATGACAGTCACATTGAAATATTTTCATTACAGATATGAGATATATGATAGTTAATACGGAATACTAAAGTTAACTAAAGATAGATGCATATTAATATGTGATGTGATACACTAGTTGGGCTCTGTGAAGTTGTGTTCTTTTATTTTTCTTTTTTTTTTTTCCAGCAGAACACTAAAGAAAAGGAACATAGTGCAGCAATTACACTTAAAATGGTAAGTTTTTAGACATTTTTCATTTGCAGATGAACAATAGTAAGAAATCTTCATCTACCTGAGTGTGGTCAATAACATTCCCATTCTCGTCTTTCAACCTATGTAGATCAAGAAATTATATACAGTAGGGAAAGAATAAAACTTTTAGATAAAAAAAAAATAATAAGAAAACAATTTGTAGTTTTCAGAACTATTTGATGGGGCATCACACAAAGAAGTATGTTTATACCATCAATAAACAGAACTTGCCTTTCACATATCCGGACAACATCTGAACCGGCATTACGCTTACACTTTCTTGTCTTAACATACAACTCTTCTGGTTTGTAAGCAACGTCCTGGATGAAAAGTTTACTTTCTTTTAAAATGTTAGACTTAGAATAGGACTGATTAACAATTTCAAACACAAGAGACGCAAAACCTAACATACTCTTATGTATGTCAATTCATACAAAGCATAGGCAGCTGATTTTTGGACAGTAATCACTGGCGGAGACCGAAGGGTTCGCATGTTCGTCGCATCCTCTTCCACTTCTACTATCTCTGCCACCATTGAAGCCTCATTTCCGCTCTGCCCCGGTAACCAAAAACAGAAGAAACTCAAAACTTACATCTGGAGATGAGTATGTACGCGTGCATATATAGCGGAAGAGATTCCTTACGGATTCACTTGGAACGGCTAAGTCGATGACAATCTTGTTAGTGCAATTGAGTTGTTGGTTAGAATCAGAGGCTTTCTCGCATTTTTGGAGCTTTGATTTAGAGATGATTTGAATTGAGTAAACAGATTGCATAGAGAGATAGAATGCAAAGAAGATTGTTAGAGCCAGTGGCTTCATTGTGTAGACAAAGCATCACAGTTTCTTCCCTATGAAGACAAAAAATCTAAGTATTAGTGCCCACACCAAACAATCAAAGCAAAATTATTCCAAGACAATAGTCATCAATGCCAATACCACAACACAGATTTCACTTCTTTTTCAGCATACTTCAGAAACATCTTTAAGTTCTGCACATTTTGATGAGTAAAAATCGATGTTGGTGGAGAAAAACATACTTAAGGAGCACTATGTTATGAACACTGAATTGTATGGTTATGTATATTATATAACAGCAAAACCAGCAATATCTCTGATGATGAGAAGAATCAGTCATATTTCATAAAATACCTACCAATCAAAGCATAAAATGTCCCTTTTAGTAGATTTAAACTTTTAATGGATACACATTACACATACACTGGCAGAGTGGCAGTACACACTGTTTTAACAAGGTTTTATACACTGACAGTATATACAAGCAAAAATTTATACAAACACAGTTTTATACACGGTTCAATATCAATAATTAAACAAAATAAAATAAATTAAAAGGTATTAAAATAAATTTATTTACCTGGCTGGCTAATGGGCAATGGCTATGCTATTGCTGGCCTACGACTTGGAGCTCTGTAATGGAGTCTGAAGACTGGACTACTGGAACAGGAGTGCCGCCTATGGCCGACGTCGCTGCGTCGTCGAGGAATTCCGAAGGGGGTCGGGGGTCGGGGGTCGGGCGTCGTCGCCTACTCTCTCGTCTCTCTGTAACTGCGTCTGCGATTGTAAATTGGGAAGGGAAAATTAAGGATTAAGAATTTACCGCCGGTTTGCGTTTGGTTGATGGAAAATATTTTAGGGAAAATGAAAATGAAATTGAAATGATATGGAAAAGAAATTATAGAAAAGATTAATTACATTGTTTAGTTGGTGAAAAATAAATTTTACAAATATTAATTTTATTATTTGATTGAGTTTGGAAGAGTTAATTATTAAAATGGTTTTTTAACTATAGCAAAAATATCGTCTTGGTTTTCAATTTATTTTTTTGACTAATTCAGTCATTAATTATTCAATTTTTTACCCTTCAATTTTTTACGCATATGGTTCTCTGTCTATTTAGGGGCAATTCGCCATCCAATCTGAGGGCATAATAGTCCTTTCACTTGCCACTTTGAGGGCATTATAGACTAATCTTTCTTTCCCGCTTTTCTACCGTTCACCAGCATAACTTACTCTCTAATTCTCTCTGTGTAACACCCCTAATTTTTAAAACATTTAAAACTTACGAAATAAAGGTGAATCTATCATTAATTCCCCAAACAGAGCATAAGAGTTAGGGTGTTATGCCACATCCAAGCTGAAGAACTTAGATGCACAGGCTAACTAACTAAACAGAATATAATTCGAATTCAATATCCAAAAATACAAGTCAAGGCACGCAGGCCATCTACCAATACTAAAACTATCTAAGCTAAGTCCTTGCATCCATCTAGCGCACTCCGAAACTACTGATCTGTACCTGAAAAACATATAGTGTAACAACCGTCAGCGAATAATGCTGAGTAACTCACTCCCACCTGTTGAGTACAATAAGTATAAGTATAGGAAATCATTTTGAGACTGGAATACATATATAGAACTAAGAAACTCTAACTTTAAAACCAAGATCGGGACTCGAGACCCCACAGCAGGCAGAACACTATAAAACAACATAAAGATACTAGCATAAATCCTAAGATCATAAGACAAGATAATAACAAGACTCAATAATAACAAACAATGTCAACAATAAGACTCAACAACAATCAAACACTGCGAGTAAACCACAGAGAGTACATCCTTCATCCAACCTTATACCAAGTTCCAACCTTTACTCATCTCCATCCTTATATCAGTTCCAACATGTACCTCCAGGCCACCCTTATAATGCCTCTCTTATCCCTCCGGAGCACGCATGCTCCCCACCGACATACCTCCAACAAATCCACCGATCTGATAGCGCCGCAGTACCATTAACACATGATCTGTGCCTATAGCACAATAATCAAGGGGTCATGCATACAAAGACGTAGCATCGCAGCGCTTATAACTTGATCCATGCCTTTAGCAAGCAAATCAAGGGTGGTCTGTGCATATAGCACAATGACCGAGCACTCGTAGTGCTAACCGCCAACAATTCATTTCCACCAATCTCATCACATTTCCCCTGAGGGACAAATCAATCACAACAACCGGTGCACCGCGTTAACTACAACCAACAACATTCAATCAACAACGATAATCAACTCTCAACAATAACAACAGGCCAAGCACAACAACAACAATAACCACGATACACAACTCGTAAAACGGTACTTGGAAACATCACCCGAGACTCATAAACATCAAACGGGGCACAACGGGGTACGAAAAAACACTAAACGGGGTAAAACAACACACCACGCCGCCCGTACCAGCGGGTGGTTGACCACCCGCCGTCCACCCGCCAGCGAGTGGCACTGTACCAGCGGGTACACGGCGGGTAGTTGTCCACCGTCGTCCACCCACTGGTACGGTGGACAGTACCGGCGGGTGGTCAGGTGGGGGTTCGTCCCCCCACCGACCCCCCACTGGTACGATGTTAACTTTGGGATTTTTCCCTCTGGGAATTCATTAATTAAACCCGAGATCAAGTCCAAACACATCCCAAAACATATCAACAACGACGTGGACTCGAACAACAAGAATTAAACCAAGAAACACCACAATTATACCCTAAACACAATCCCTAAACATGCCAAGACTTGAGATTAATCACATAACGGTCCAAGAGCATCAAGAACCTCAATATCATTAAGAAACTTATATGCAAAGCCCTAAAAACAAGCCCCAACCTTGAATCAACACCCGAGCATGCATAAACTCACCCAAGAACGCCAAGAGCATCACAATGACAAGAATTACAATATAAACCCTAAGGACAAGCTCTAAACACAATTAAATACCAGGACATACCAAGACCACACAGGGCCACCAAGAATATCAAGAATAACAATAATCCATATCACAAATTCCTAAGGACAAGCTCTAACAAAGCACCAACACAAAATCATACATTCAATCATTCAATGGAGCCAATCAGTAAAAGATAGCAAGGAAAATAGGTTTTGTAAGACATTGGTTACCTTTTAGCCTTAACTATCCCTTGGCTATTAAGGTTTTTTTCCAAGATTTTCCTTCGATTGATTTTCCTAGGCTTGGTGGTGGGGAACTCCTCTGGCCAGGTTTCTTGGGCGATTCATGACTATGAGAGGTGAAAGGGGTTCTAAATGCTTTCTAATCCCTATTTATAAGTTTAAGAAATCCTATTTGGAATCAGAGTGATAAGGCCCACTTTCTTTATCCTTAACAGGCCTAAGGCTCTAGTTCAGGCAAGGGTTCACGATCCATTGTGGACCACATTAATTAATTAAGGAAATTCTAACCAAATTACACCCCAAAATCCCCAAAATCCTGTAACCTAAATTCACAAAGCACCTAATTCCAGCGACAATATGTGCCTGGGTGGATTGTACGAAGGTCTTTGATGGCTTCAAGCAGCACACCCGGCAGCAAAGGTAAGTCTATTTCTTCTTAAGTTCATACATTTATGTACAATTCGAATGTTTATTTCTGGCAACGTTTATTCTTGTGTACAAGTGTGTTGAGTTGATACATATATTTATGGTGTGTTGTTTTATGTTAAGTGACAGTAAAGTGAGTGTTAGGGACCAGTTGTGAATGTCTTTTTCGAAAGCAAGTGTTGTTGAATGTCTTATCCAAAACTGGGGACCAGTGTGTATTTTTTTGCTTCCCTATTTGTTTACTGTTTCTTTCATTTTACCAAAAACTGGGGACCAGTTTTTTGTTGTTATCGTTTACTTGTTTAATTTTTCTGAAAAAAAGTATGTTGTTTAGTTGGGGACCATCATATGTATCTTTATTGTTGTTATTATATGCTTTCAGCTTTGACCATGTGAAAAGTGAGTTTAATATTTGTGTTTAATCAATTAGGTGGACAGACTTATAAATTCTGTTTGAAGTTAAGATATGGTGGTAGCATAAATCAAAGTAAACCACCTACATACTTGGGAGGGAAATTGAGTACATTTTCTAACATGGACTCGGATGAATGGGGCATAATGACACTTATGGAAAAGGTTGTAGAAATAAGATTTAACAATGATGAAAATCTGAGGTTTTTTACCGTGATTGACAAAGGACTATTTGAGCTTTTCAGTGATTTGGAGACATAGAACTTAGTAAATAATGTGCTTAGACCCAAAGTAGTAGATATTTGGGTTATTCCAGGGGTTACTATGGATGAGGCAGAAGTAGATGGACATCCAGATGAGAATGCAGATGTAGATAGTGATGGGGAAGGAGTTGGGGGTAGTTCAGGTGGGTCTGAGGGAAGTGATTGGGAAGATGGGGATTCTGCAAATGATGAGTTAGAGGAGTTTGAGGATAGTGAATATGAAAATGACAAGGGTGATGATGAAGACTTTGTGGAACATGTGGATTCCCAGGTTGAGTATGGAGGGGTTGCAGTTCCTAAAAATGATGAGGCTGAAAAACAAGCAAACACAATCCAGAATGAGGCTACGTGAAATATTTCAGATGATGAGGGTGGGGGAGGGGTTCAAGTTCATATTCCTAGTAGGCCCATTCCTGAGTTACCATCTCCACTATGGCATGGTAGAACATTTAGTAATAAAGTGGATTTCAAAGATGCAGTGAAGGTGTATGCTATTCAGTTTGGAAAGGAGTTGAAATTCATGAAGAATGTCAAAGTCAAGTGTGTTGTTAAATGCATGAAAGAGGGCTGCAAAGGGACCTTATTGGACCTTATGAAGCATATTACACATTTATGTCTGATAAGCAAAAAGGTTTGATTCCAGCTTTTGAAGAGGTGTTACCTATGGTAACTCATAGGTATTGTGTTAGATACCTTCATGGTAACATGAAAGTGGCATGATTTGGTGGTCAACCAATTAAGGATGCACTTTGGAAAGCAGCTAGGGCCACCACTGTCACCAGTTTCACTGTTGCTATGACAGAGCTTAAAGCATTGGATGTTGATGCTTTTTAGCTGGTTAGGTGACAAACATCCTACAAAGTGGTCTAGGTCTCATTTCTCCCCAACTCCAAACTGTGATATGTTTGTAAACAGTATCTGTGAATGTTTCAATTCAATGATAAAGGGTGCAAGGGATAGTCTCTTGATTAACTGCGGGCCTTGAGATTCTGAGAAAATAAGTGATGGTTAGGCTGTTTGAGTGCAAAAAACAAGCAAGTAACTGGCCAGGACTGCTCTATCCAGTCATAACAAAAAAATTAGATGTGTTTGAAAAACAAGCAGGAGGATATTGGGCTTACCAAAGTGATGAGCACTTATTTGAGGTGAAAGGATCCATTGACCAACACCAAGTTGATCCCAATGCTAAGGCATGTTCTTGTAGAAAGTGGCAACTGACAAGCATACCCTTTAGACATGTTATATCTGCCATTTGGACAAAAAAGATGGCAGTGTATGACTTTGTGGATTCATGCTATAGATTTGAAACCTATTTGAAGACATATGGTGGTTGTATTCACCCAATGACTGAGTCTCATGATTGGCCAATTAGCACTAGACAACCTCCACTTCTACCTAGGGAGGCCAAAGAAATAGAGGAAGAAATATGCTGATGAATAAAAAAAGAAGCAGTTCATATGTTTAGAAAGTTTGTCACTTTTCATTGTTCTACATGCAAGCAAAAAGGCCATAATTCCAGAAAGTGTCCTTTGAAACCAC